AAAAAATACCATCGTTCATAATAAAATTGATGGTTACATTTGAGTTGATTCCGTTAGTGCGCAATAAAATGTTAGATTCTAGGATGGTTGATTTAAGTAAAAAATTTAAAATATTACTTACCATCTGTAATAAGACTGACGTTAATATTGGGCGAATTATCAGAATTTGAAGATGATGTTCCACTAGACCCTAATGAAAAAGAATTGGTCATTTGAAAATGCAAGACAAAAATATTAACCTGGATTGTTTGAAGAAGATTGCCCGCAAGTATTGGGTTTTGAAGATCCGGAAAATACAATGATGCTAATATCGGGACCTTAAAAATAAAAAATTAATTGACTTTATTTACTGGCGTGAGGCATATATCTTAAATATATTTCAAATTATCAGAAAAATTGCTTTTTAAATACGTTCTTTTTCGGCAGATGATATCAGCTTGGAAAAGAATTCGGAGAAACCAAATGAATTCTAATATAGACATAAACTAAAAAAGTCCTCACGCCAGAAAATTTATTTTATTATAAAATAAATGAGGTAAAATAAATTGATAAATAATTAATTTAAACATCTAAACTAGAATGTGTTGACTCAAAAGTGTTTTTGACACCATTTGTTTTAGAACACATTTGGGTGTTGAAGAAATCACGCAATAAGCCCATTGAATTTTCACTTTGATCAATAAATTGAACCTTCTTAAAATAAACAAAAGTAAGAAATACATTAAATTAAACCGGTAATAGTGTCGTTTCCAGGCCCCATTTTTTCCTCCCCAATTTTTTACCCTATGTTTGTACGGAATGGTCAAATTTTCTCCTTTCTTTCATCAAATTTACCTTTCCATATTTTGCCTAAAAACAATCAAAAAGATTAATTTGTGACATTTAAAAAAGTAGTAGAGTAATGAGAACAATCATTTTCCCAATTAATAAAAATGGAAGACTGTTGTTGTGAGACGAAAATATGAAAGAGTATGGATGATTGGGGGCGTTGAGAGAAACACCAAGCTTTTTGATTGTTTTTAGGCAAAATATGGAAAGGCAAATTTGATGAAAGAAAAGGGAAAATTTGACCATTCCGTACAAACATAGGGCAAAAAATTGGGGAGAAAAAATGGGGCCTGGAAACGACACTATTACCATTAAACCTTTAAATTCCCAAAATCAGCAAATTGTGTAAATGCTTTTTTAAGAAACTGTGTGGCTAAATCAAAGGACAAGCCATAATGTCCTTAAATGTTAAATAGATTTATGAATAGATTTTAAAATACCAGTCCCAAGCAAAGGAAGTGTCATGCTTTGAATTTGAAGTTCTTTTGCTTTACTAAGAAAATGGTTATAAATTTCATCAAAAGAATCGCGGCTAGAACGACGAGCAGAGCAGAGAATTACAAAATTAGTCTGCAAACCACAATTACGAGATAGACGTACAGAAATTGCTGAAGAAGTTTGTTTACGTCTTTCTCGCTGAAGGTTCAACTGAAATATAAAAATGGTTTAAATTTCTACTTAATTTAACTCTGCTCAATCAAAACTTTTTATTATAGCAAAAAAATATCTGAACGAATAAAATTTAAAAATAAAAGTTTACCGAAAAATCATCTCCAGCAGCATCCTTTATAGCTTTAGTCAATCCAAATGTTAGAGAAAAATTGGAATCACAAATAGCACCAATACAGTTAGTGTTTGAAGAAAGAATGTCACCCTAAAATTAAAAAAAGAAATAAAAACTAAAATTTTATATTAACCACAACACAACAGAATTCAAGGCCTCGAAACTGACAGGAAAATATTTCTTTATTCTCGTTTTGATTAATAGAAGACATTTAAAAATTTTTAAACCTAAAATTTGTAAAATTTTCTTTAATTTTTCGGATTTATTTAGTAAAATCGATTTGTCTAGTAAAATGATGAAATGGTGTAACTATGTTATAATGGCATAAATAAGCTGTAAAAAAACAGATGAAAACAAGGGTAAATGTAAAGATTACTGGTCCCTAGAAAAAAATGAGGAAAAAGTGCTAGTTAGACATTTTTTATGCATGCCAGTAGGTAATCGAATGTGCTGAGTCCGAATCTGAGCTTAGAATTTGTTTATTTCGAACCCCGGACCTGAATTCGACCAAGTCGAATTTGGGGTAAAAATCCGAAATTAAAAATTTATGGCGTAATCGACTATGCTGATCACGAATCTGATATCAGATTTTGTCAAATATCGACTCAGCTCGTCGAATTCTTTCGAATGAGCTATTATTTGGATTTTCGAATTTTTTGACCCCAAAAATTTTCAAATTTCGGGGGTCTCTAACTCTGCCCTATGGAGTCGGATCGCGGTGATTTTGGAGGAATTCGACTCAGCTCGAATAGGCGCGTCAGATTAGCACTAAATTTTTAATTTCGAATTTTTACCCCGAATTCGACCTGGTTGAAACCGGGTTTGGGGTTCGAAATAAACAAATTCTAAGCTCAGATTCGGACTCAGCACACTCGATTACCTACTGGCAAACCTCAAAAATATCAAAAAAGCATTTCTTCCACATTTTTTTTCGGGACCAGTAATCTTTACATTTACCAAAACAAGTAATTGACTTGAATTATGTCAAAAAGTCAGCAAGACTCATTTGTCTTTACATTTATTTTCAGTCTCAGCACAAACCTAAACCTTTAGGCTTGCTTGTCATTAGAGTCTCGGCGACTTAGCATCAAAACGCCTTTTTCTATGCCATAACTTTTTTTATTTCGATAACTTCCAGAAATTTTCTTTATCAATTAAAATCTATATTTGTTTTTATTCTTTTTATTAACTTTATGAAAGGATCCGATCATTCCTTAGAAAGTTACACCCGCCTAAGTATGTTAAATCACGATTATTCGCAGTTAACGGCTCCTAACTTTCTTGAAAGTCGGTAAAACTAAACAATTTTTTTGGAAAAAATAACCAGCACATCCAGAACTTTTAATTAAAGCAAAAATTATTTGGATTGATTTAAAAACAAAAAAGTTATATCCCAAAAACTTCCGTTTTGATGCCATATTTTAAGACTCTTTCGTTACCTGGTTACTTTTAGTCTAAACCTTTTGAAGCCTAAACCTTTAGGTTTTTGAACATTTGAGTCTCACCACGTCTTCAAATTTTTTTTCTAATTCTAGCTTTTTTAATCGTTTGTTCTTCTTAATTAGTGTATAAAGATGAACCAGAACTGATATTCTGGTAATAGAAATCCCATAAATTAAGAAACAGACCACCCCGTTCAAATTGTATACTGTACAGATACAGTTTGAACGGTAAAGGACGATTCAGTATCGCCGATTCAGTATATTTACAGGGATAAGGGGCAGCCCAAAACTACGCAAGCCAAAACAGCACGACCAAAATTATGCAACCGACTATCTAAAGACTAGCTAACCGCGCAGAACAAAATCGGGAAACAAAGTCAGAAGAAATCCGGTAGGGGATATTGTGTGTGACGGCCCTAGTGAACGACATATCGACTTTTTCTTAAGGAAAAAAAGTCGTTTTAAAAAAATCTACAATTATTCGCGAACGACTTTTTTTAATAAACAAAACGCCAGAACTACGTAAATATCGATGTTTTACGCCAAACGATTGCGAAACGACTTTTTTGTATCTCTTTTTCTCTAATTTTTCATTATATTTCCTTTCTCTTTTTCTATTAATTTTCGTCTCTCTTGTTTTGTGCAGTCCATTTTTCTTGGAATCCAAAAACTTTGTAGGGCCATAACTTCCTTTATTTTTGTCTGTTCGAATTATTTTTGGCACCATTCGAAACAGCTCGAAAAGCTCCATCGAATGAAACATCAAACTTACAAAACATACCAATTTTGTATGTTTTGAATAATTAAAAGAAAACAATAGAAAAAAACGAAGAATTGATAAAAAAATTATCATCTACTTGATTTGGGGTCGCTTTAGTATATTCCCACAGATTTTCCAGCGAAGATTCTGTTGAACATTTTCTAAAGAACATTTTCAAATGTAGTCGAATCTTGACTCTAGGCTTTTCTTGGGCTTTTTCGGGCTTAGGGGGAAGTTAAAAACAAAATTTCAATAAAAAAATGAGACAAATAAACAAAAATTTATCAAAAAAACTAAAAGCCAATGTCTCGTTTCACTCATTAGATTTGTGGCCCTAAAGAGGGCCGTTTGGGTTGTGGCTGTGTCGCTTCTATTCCATCTAAGACTGCAATTCAAAGGTTGCCAGGCAGAATCACTTCAACAGCAAATCGCCCGAGCACGTCGTTGTAACACTTAGAAAAATGAATTAAAAAATTGAAAAAATTTTAAAAAATTCCAAAAAAAAAATAAGATTTAAAAAACAACCTCTCCTATTGTTTCCCCATTGTTGCAGCCGTAGGATGGAGTTCGACACACATCAAACAAGTTTTGATTAAACATAAAAAAGAAAAAATTTAGGAATGAAAAAAATTTAGCAACTAATTCTAGGATCAATGAAAACGATAGCTCATTCGAGTTTCAGGGTGCGAAATTCGGTTCGGGAAGTGTAATTTAACCCGGAAAGTAATTTACCCACAAATTACCTCCAAAGCCTTAAAAAAACTTTTGTAACCCCTAAAAATAAAAAAATGAAATCCAATTTACAAAAACCTCCTTACAAATTGAGAGACTGCACTGAACGAAAATTAATAGAAAAAGAGAAAGGAAATATTTTGTGAAATTAGAGAAAAAGAGACACAAAAAAGTCGTTTCGCAATCGTTTGGCGCAAAACATCGATATTTACGTAGTTCTGGCGTTTTGTATTAAAAAAAAGTCGTTCGCGAATAAAAGTAGTTATTCGCCGCGAATCGACGAAAACGTAGATATGTCGTTCACTAGACGGCCCCCTCAAAGTTTGGCAATGTTTGAACTTTTGAGTCCACTTTCTTTTCTCCTCTTTTAAAGACTCACGGCATATGTAATTAGAATTTTCTTTGTTTTTAATTTCTTTCAATTAATTAAGCCGTAGATATATGTAGACATAATATGCCGCCAAAAAATCAGCCTCCAAAAAATAAAAAGGCAGATGAGAAAAAGAAACAAGAAGCATTAAAGGATCGTACATTTGGATTAAAGAATAAAAAATTGAGGGCACAAATTGAAAAGAATGTTTGCTTTTAATTACAAGAATATTTTCACAATTTATTTAGATACTTGGTGGTTCTTCAACACAACATCAACAAAAAAAGAAAAATGAAGATGATGACTTAAAAGATATGAGCAAAATTTTCAAGCCAGTCGCAAAAACTTCAACACAACAAAATGTAAGCGCCGGTAATTTATTTAAAATTGAAACTAAACTTTTATTTTTTTGTAAATTCAGATGTTGATCCAAAATCGGTTCTTTGTGTTTTCTTCAAGCAAGGAATGTGCACTAAAGGGTTTTATTTGTTTATGATTAAAATAAAATCAAATACTTTTTTAGAAATAAATGCAAATTCAGTCACGATTTGTCAATTCAACAAAAAACTGCAAAAAAGAATTTGTATGTAGACAGTCGATCATTACCGAATGAAGAGGGTTAATTTAATCTTAAAATGTATATTTATTCCTAAAATTATTTTTATTTAAGAAACCAATGAAAATTGGGACGAGAAGACTCTTGAAGATGTTGCTGAAAAGAAACATGGGGAAAAGGACAGAAAAAGGCCAAACCAAACAGATATTGTGAGGATTTTAATTTAATCGGACCCTCTCTTGTAAATAAACTTCTGGGTAATAACCAATGTATCCCATAAGAAGGTGTATTTGGAATAGCGTGTGTGTTACAAAGAGTTAATTAATTATATATATCTACAAGAGAGCTCCGTATTTATTCCAATTTCTAGGTGTGTAAATATTTTTTGGAAGCTGTGGAGAATTCTAAATATGGATGGTTAGTTTTTTTTAAATTTATATGAATTTAATACAAAAATTTTAGGTTTTGGGAATGTCCTAATGGTGATGGATGTATTTACAGGTTTAAAAATTAAATAAGCAACATCAGTTTTATTTTAGGCATGCCCTTCCAAAAGGTTATGTACTCAAAAAAGATAGGAAAAAGATGGAAGAACAGACAAGACTTTCGAAAATTTCCTTGGAGGAATTCATTGAAAAAGAGGTTATTTTACCTTTATCTTCTTATAGAATTATTTTTAGCGTTCAAAACTTTTGGATAAAGAATTGACAAAAGTTACATTTGACACATTTATTACTTGGAAAAAGAAGAAAATGAAAGAAAAGAGACAACAACAATTGCAAAGTGAACGTGAAAAACTTGCGAGTTTCAAAAGTGGAAAACAGGTATTTACACTTTAGAAAATCTAAAATAATTTTAAGACTGGTCTTTCTGGCAAAGATTTGTTTACATTCAATCCTGATTTCATTGCTGAAATTGAAGAAAATTTGGGCCGTGAGGAAAGTGTGGAAGATGGAAGTGTTGCTCAATATGAACGTGAACCAAGCGAGGATGGAGAGGTTTAATTTTTGTAAAAATGTTTAAAAAATCTTTTAAAATATAGATTGATCAAATTAAAGCGTTCGAAATTGGTGATAATACTTTTCAAGCAGTAGATGCTTTTGGACATATTATTGAAATGGATGATGAAAAAGATGAAAGTGGACCTTCTAAAGTTATTGTTTTTGACAAGGAACTATTTAATGATGAACAATTGCCGTGTAGTGATTCTTCTGATGATGAGGAAGAAGAAAATAAAAGGAATGGAATAAATAAAAATGATGAAGAACAAACTTTAAGTGAAAGGCTCAATAAAGTTTAAATTTTCTATTCATGTTTTTTGTGTTTAAAAAATGTTGACCTTTTTGTCTTTTCTATTATGCAATAGTTGCTATCTAGCAATATATTTAATTATTTTTATATTTTATTTTACAACGTGGCTTTTAAAAATGAAGTCCACTTTGTTTTTATAATTTTAAACATTGTGCGACAACTTTTAAAGTTTGGTGTTTCCACAAGTTGAGTTGCCAAAATGGACTGGCTCTTACCGAAAGATTAAGTTTGGCTAGGATATTTGGCCCGTAAAAGACTCGTTCCATTAAAAGCAAGCCCGGAAGAATGCCTCGACTGACTGCCCGACTCGAAAACGGCAACCCTACCTGCAATAAATGAACCATTTTTTCATCATCTACTTATAAACATCGAGTAGCATCGAAGGACTCTTAGTTTTCAACTTAATGTTTGCCAATTCGCGATCAATTTTCCTTAGATTGTTTTATATAGTTGGTTGGGATTTTAGTATCTTTGAGAAGTTTGATTTCAATGATTCGATTTTTTCAAATTATTTTTATTGGTAACGAGTTTTATTCAAGTTTCCAGGGTTTTCGAAATAACCAATATAATCGATTTAAATGACACGTTTCCGATTTGTTTTACCCTCTCCCCTATTATTTAACTTTCGATTTTACACGCTAGTATATTGATTACCTTGTGAAATCGCTTATGTGAATCAATTATTTTTTAGCATTGAAAGAATTATATTTTAGTAAAGCAAAGACTCATTCAATTCTTAAAATAATTTTGAAAGATGGGACGTTCTGAATCTAAACGCGAAAGGGTATTTTTAATAATTAAGTATTTTAAGGTATATTTTTTATTTAAGGACTACAGCCCTGTAGATGGTTCAAAGAGACGTCGGAGAAGTGCATCTCGTTCGCGTTCTCGTTCGAATACTTACAGGTTTTTATTTAGGGGGATTTCATTTTTATTTTTTCGGGTTGCCTTCCTTTTTCTGATTTAAAATGTTATCTTGTCTAATAAGATGCGTTTCACTAAATACATCTAAAATCGTGTTATTTTGTCAAAAATTGTCAACAGAACAATGAGTTGGTAAAACATTAGAACTGTTCAATTCGTTCTATTCCCACCCACCCATTTTTACACTTGGCCCCATTCTTTACGTAAAAATTCAAATATACAGATAATAGTTTATTCGAAAAAGCTTTTCGAGCTAATGATGATTCGAATAACTTTACGGTTTTGTGTCTCTTAACCCCATTGAACGAAATCGAAATATAAAGGAAAGTTTTTTACATTTAAATTTTTAGTGCAAGTCCATCGCCAAAACGTGAAGTTGTTTCATCGAGACGAAGAGACGATGACCGTCGTAGAAGGTTTGTAAAATGGAAATTTGCAGTATTTTTTTACCTAGCTCCAAAAAATTATCTATTAATGCATTTAGAGCATTTATACAATATCAATGTTTTTATCAAATTTAAACAAAACAAATTCTTCGCTGCAATTGCGAATTGGGCATTCAAGAATGGTGGTCAATTCCTTTTCAAAATCCTTTTGCGCCACATTTTTAATTTCAATTTTCAACGAGGGATTGTCTTTCTCTCTTTTCCTTTCATTTTTCCAAAACAAATTGATTTAATTGTTCAAATCAAGACTATTCAATGCTGCCTTACAAATTTATCTACAAACGTCAATTTTAACTTGTTGCAGTCAATTTTATTCAAGCAAACATATAGGGCACTAAATTAATTTTCAAATCAAATCCAAATGCTGCTTGGTAAATTTGTAATGCTGGTTATTTTTTTAGAGTTAAAGATTCTTGAATAGATTTTGTTTAAGCATTTGTCTTTCCTTTCTATTTTTGGTAGAGATGTTTTAACCCCTTTAGTTTTTTGAACGAAAGTTAATGATGTTTGATTATTTTTATTAATCCTTTTAAAAAATTTATTTATTTCAGCCGTTCTCGTGATCGTTATAGCCGAGATTACGGACGTGACTATGACCGTGATTATGGTCGTGACCGTTATGGTGGTGGTGGCGGCGGTTACCGACGAACTCATCGTTATGCTGATGGACGGGACAATCCCGAGCCTGGTCCGTGCCTTGGTGTTTTTGGAATGAGTCTGGTTTGTAAAATTTTTGATAAAAAATTTTTTAAAATATTCCCTTCAATTTCAGCATACAAGCGAACGTGATTTGCGTAAACTTTTTGGCGAATACGGTGAGATTGAGTCCGTTCAGATTGTTTACGATCGATTCTCCGGACGTTCACGTGGTTTCGGATTTGTTTACTTTACGAGCACTAAGGATGCCACACGCGTATGTTTTTTGATTATCTTGGGGAAAAAAAGATTTTTTGTTATAGGCAAAAGATCATTTAATGGACACAGTTATTGATGGAATGAAAGTTCGCGTTGATTATTCTGTCACTCGTGGAGGAGGACCTTAGTAAGTTTTAATTTATATTTTCTAATTGTAAATGTACAATTAGTAAGAATTTTTACAAAAATTTTTCAAATTAGTAAGGAGAAAAAATCTGAATTCTTCAGTCGTCACAATCGCAAAGGTTCGCGAAGTCCTGTTCGCTATAATAGTCGCAGTCGCAGCCGTTCTTAAGAAGTTTCTGAAGCAATGAGAAGAAGAAATGATGAGAGATACTGAACGGAACGAATTTTTTAAGTTTATATGATCAAACAATTTGGGATTTTTCAATTATTTGATGATCATTTTAAGTTTAAATTTGTTGGTCTACCATTAATTATCAGGGCTGGAGAACTAAAAATAACAATTTTTCGACAATTTCCTGGCCCTGATGTTTGGATATGATAGGCATAACCAGATAATTTTATGAAAATGTTAGTTGATGTGAGTGTTATCTAATTTTATCAATTCTTTGGTTATGCCTATAATCGCCTTTATTATTTTTGCATCAGTAAACAATTCAATATTTAAAATGTTTTTATTAATGTTGAGATTTGAATGCCGAATTAGCGAGAATTTAGAGGGCTTTTGTATAAGTAACGGTCTAAAAGCTTTTTTGAAACTTGGTAATTAATATTCGGTAATTCTTTAACTTCTCCAAGATAGTACCAAAATATCAACTTTGTAATTTAACCATAATGTTTTATCGATCTCTGCATTAACTTTACATACACTGCATATGTAAAGTTAAATCCATAAAAGGAAAAAAGTACGGCCTCCATATAAAGAGTGTTTGTTTGAATGACTTGTTTATTTTACGTCCCCCAAATTTTGATATAAAACGTATGATTTTGCGCCAACTAGTTACTATTAATTTACTAACAATTTTATTTGTCTCTAAAAAATGAAATCATCAAAAAAATATTTTCCTTTTATTCCTATACAAATACCTCTTGAAGAGCCGATAAAAATTGAAAATGGGAATTCCACGTGTGGAATTTCGATGATTATTAGGCAAATAAGGCCAACTTGGAAATTGGATTATTGTGAGATTGAAGTTATTTTTTAAATTAAATTAATATTTAAAAGAGTAAAATTATCTTTAATTTGAATGCCAATCGAGAGAATTTAATGTTGTATTCAATCCCTAATTTAAAAATTCGAGATCCCTCCCCCCCCCTCCCCCTCTTCTTCCATAAATTAATTTAATTTAATTTTATTCAATCTAACCACAAAATAGGTATTCACTAATGGAATTACTAATAAAATATTTTGTGTTTGTAATGGAGAGGAAAAAGAGGACAAACTTATTTTTAGAGTGTTTGGTGCTGGGTCTGATAAAATAATTGATCGGTAAATTAAAAATAAAAAAATTTGTTTTTAATTAATTAATTAAAATAGAGAATTTGAATTAGAAAATTTTGAAAGACTTTCCAAAAATGGTCTAGCTGCTCCAGTTTATGCAAAGTTTTTGTATAAAAATATTTTTTATTTAAAATTATTTAAAGATTTGAGAATGGATTAGTTTATGGATATTTACCTGGTGAATGTGTTTCGATTAAAAGTGTTCGAGAACCTTGTATAGTTGAGTAAGTAAAAGAGAAAATTAAAAATAAAATAAAAATTATTTTATTTTTTAAAGAAAAATTAGTATTTCATTGTCTTTAATTCACAAAATTCCTCTTACTAAAGAAGAACAAAATCAGCAACCATTAATTGAAATTAAATTAAAAAATTGGATTGAAACTCTTCCAAATAAAATATCCTCAAAAAAGGGGCAACTTTTATTTGATGAATATTTTGCAAGTTTGTGGGGGGATATTAATAATTTAATTAATAAAATAAAAAATTAAATAACTTTAGAAAAATAAATCAATTATTTTTTCAGAATAATTATATAATATTATTTAAAGTTTTTAATTAAAAATTTTTTTAAATAGTAATTATAATATATATGTATACAGTGCCGAAAAAAACGGGGCCAAAAATGTTAAATTAGTTTTTTTCGATTGTCTATTTTTTATTAACTGTTTTTGTGAAAGTTTTGTCGATAAATGATATTGATATTTATATTCATTTTACAGATCACCTAAAGGTCTACGAATTTTTTGTTAGATAAAAAAAGATAATCGGAAAAACAATTAATTAAACATTCATGGTCCTATCTTTTATTTCGGCACTATAATTATTCTTTTTTAAGAGATTAATTTAACTAATCAATTTGAACAATTAATTGCTTTTATAAAAAATATTTCTTCACCTATGGTTTTCTCTCATAATGATTTGCTTATTTATAATAGTTAATTAATTAATATTTTTAAAAAATATTTTTTATTTTTTTAAAGTTCTTTTGGATAAATCAAATAACAAAATTCATTTTATTGATTACGAATATGCAGGTCCAAACCCCCAATTATTTGATATAGCCAATCATTTATGTGAATATGCAGGTAATTATTTAATAAAAATTAAATAAATAATTTAAATAAAAAAAGGTGTTGATGAAATACCAAATTATGAAATTAACGGCCCTACAAATGTAGAACGAGAATATTTCCTTAAATGTTATTTTCTTAATTTTATTGGAAAATCTTTGGATGAATTTGAATTAAAAAATCTTGTCAAACAATTATTAATCTTTGAAAGTGTTAGTTATTTTTAAATTTTTAAAAAATAAAAGAAAATATTTGGCAAAAGTGTGTAGTTTATGTGACACCTTTTTTCTCATTTTTTCATCTCCCTAGAAAAAATGACGAAGCGCTTTTCCGATATTTTTGAGGTTTGCTAGAAGGTATAATTGCTAAATTGAATTTGTCTGGCCAAATTTCGGGTCCGAGATTTGAAATAAATAAAAGTTGAACTCATATTCAAACTCAGCACATTTATTTACTTTATGGAAAACCTCAAAAACATTGGAAAAGCACTTCTTCGTCAATTTTTCTAGGGAGATGGAAAAATGAGAAAAAAGTGTTACAAACACTTTTACCAATATTCTTTCTTTAAAAATCTCCATTAAGGTTATAATTTCATTTTTTAAAACAATTTTTAGGCCGCACATTTTTTCTGGACACTTTGGGCTATTCATCAAGTACTAATTTTAATTTGTAAATAAATACTAATTATTTTTATTTAGTCAAATCTTTCAAAAATTCAATTTAATTATATGCAATATGCAATTAGTCGACATAAACAATTTATTTTACTTTTTAATAAATTTGTGGAGGAAATTAAAAAAGAATAACTAAAATAAATATTTTAATTAATAAATATATGCCTTAATTTTGGAATTATCTTTTTTTAAATTAATCATTAAAAAGTTTTTATTTTAAAAATATTTCCAGGCTTTTAATGTAAATTTTTATTTAAGTTTTAAAAATAAAAATATTTTTTCTTTTAAAATATACAGTATTTACTTCCATAAAAAATCAAAAAAAATTCTTTTTCTTTTAATAAAAATAACAAAAAAAATTAATTAGCGAGAAAACGAGCATTTCAACAAAAACAATATCAACAACCATCATCACTTTGTATTTTTATTTATAAAAATGCCGGGACAGGAAAAAATACATTTTTATTTTTTAAATTAAATGCCGACATTTCTTTTAATTTTTATGGCAACATTTCCTTTCCTTAGGCATTCCCGTCTTGTTTTTTTGTGTTTCCAACTGCGTAATATTAAATAATAAAAAAATGTCGGCAATTTTCCAAGTCAAAAATGGGAAGGGAAAAATTGCAAAACGAGACTAGTAGAAAATAAAATAAATATTTTTTGTTGTTAAAATTTCTGGAAGAGAATTTTTCGTTAAATTTATTTTTAAATTTATTCTTATGAAACACCCTATTTTGGAAAAAAATTTAAAAATAAATCACTGAATTTTTAGGCAAATTGTCCATAGATTTTCTTGTTTATATTATAAAAAATCTCGAAGATACATATTGACATTCATAAGTAATGACAGAAAAATCCAAAAATTTAGATGCGCGTATACTTTTGAAACACGGTGTATTTTAATTATTAAATTTTAATTGTTGGAACTGAGAAAATTTAATTTGCCTAATTCTCTCTTTTTTTTTAATTTATTTTTTGTTTAAAATATTATTAAAAATATTTTTGTTCTTTATTTATAAAAAAATAATTTCGGTCTCTCTTTTTTATATTTTAGGTTATTTTTTGATAATAGAATTCCCTTTTTTTATTCAGGTCAAAATAATTAGTTTTTAGACGAGAATTTATTTTTATTTATTTTTTATTTCAATTCACCGCTTTTCAAACCTTTCCTCAATTCACTTTTTAAAAATATTTTTAGGTTATGGGAAAGGTTATAAGAAAATAAAAGAAAGTGGTGGTGATGCTGATTTAATTTGATTTATTTTTGTTTAACTGATTTTGTACTTAAAAAGAATATTTTTACAAAATAAGGCGCTTTCTCAGCCTTTTTCTTTTTTCTTAAATTGAATTTAAAGCTCTATTTTTTTTTAATAAAAATTTCACTCATAAAAATATTTATTTTGGCAGTTTTATTTTTTTCTATAAATTTACCGCCTTCTTTTGAAAATAAAATTAAAGTTTAATATTTCGTATTTTTATAAATTTCTTTAAAAATCTAAACAAAAAAAATCAACAATTTCAAGGATTGTTTTTGATGGATTTACTTGTTGAGCTTTGTTTTCTTTAGAAAAATTATTAGGTATATGTATAAAAATATAAATATAAATTGATTGATGACTTTTTTTAAATTAAAAATAAAATGACACAAGAGTGGAAAAAAATATTTAAAGAATAAAAATTGTGAATAAGAAGTAGTTTATGATTGCTATTGCGCAAGAGAATAAATATATTTTTAATGCTTTTTTTAAAGAAAATAAAAATAAATATTTAATAAAATTTTTAAAAATTAAGTTTTTGAAATATATTTTAAATTTTACAAAAAATATTCTTTTCACTTTTTTTGCCAAACCATTTTCTCCATAATCCCTTAAAAAGCCAAACAAGAAGAACAACAATTAGCCGATTCTGTGAAGCGTAAGTGTCACTCACTATACTAATAAAAGGGTTAAGAATGAAAAAAAAAGATTTTCTTTCTTTTTTCTATTGTCTTTCCACTGCCAAAATAATTTTCGATCATGCCACTTCAGTGGACAGAAACGGACAATGGCCGAATAATTTAAATACAAATAACTTTTGTTTTCTAAAAATATTTTGAATTAATTTAGGTAATAAATAAATAAATAAATTTTTAATTTTTTGATTACGTGGAATATAAACTAAAATTTTATGAATTTATTTAAAATTTTTATTTTAATTCAGAAAATACAAAAATCTCCCAAAAATATTCAAAAAATCCATTTCTTGTCTTCAACACTTTTACTAAGTTCTTCTCCCTTTTTTTTTATTCTTCAAATAATCGCAACAAGCCAATTCTCTTGTATATTCTCATTCGAGCGCCATATAAGCTAATCTCCCCCATCCCCCATTCAATATATTATTAGTTAAAGGGTCAAAAATGTACTAAGCCCATTCTTCTTTTTCTTCTTCTATCGTCTGTTCAGACCTGTCATTATAAGCGGCTTTGACCTTTTTATATTTTTATTGTTGTTATTAGAGCTGTCCTAGACCGAAAATTTTCCAAGAATCAAAAAAGACAAGGACCAGACCACAAAAAGGAGTCGAAAATTCTGTGACGGAATTGAATTTTTCTTGATTTTAACCTACCTAGATTAGTTATATTATCTAAAAATTTCTATAGAAACTTGTCAAGACCAAGAGTCACAGCTTTAATTGAAGATTGAATTTTAATTAAATTTTAAAATTAATAAATAAAGAAAATTTTAAATCAAATTAACAATTTAATAAAAATTTCAAATTTTATTCTCAATTTAAAAAAAAAGTTGCCAATATATTTTTTTCTTTTTTCTTTTCTTTTTTCTTTCTAAATTCATTCCCTAAAAGCTTTTTTTATTTTTAATTTAACCATCCACAATCATTGGTTACCATTACCGAACAAACGATGCTTAATTGACCGGAAAGAATTTTTCAAAGGAATTGATGGAAGGAAAGGAGAGAGAGACGGTATTTGCTTTTTAAAAGTACCGAGAATTTTTTAAAATAAAAATTTTGTTTTTAAGAGTTTACTTGAATGATTTTAATTTTTAAAGTCTTTAATTAATTACTTGAATTTTAATAATTTTTCCCCTCTTGCTCCTTTTAATTTAAATACAATCAAAAATTAGTTTTTCATTAAAATATTTAAAAATTCCAAATAAATTTCCTTAAAATTTTTAAATAAAAGTTAAAACAACACAAATCAATTTAAACTTTTTTTTAAATTTCCTCTCTAAAAATCGCTGATCCAAATAATTCGACAGGTTTTGTAATTTTTACAAAATTTACAGAAAAAATTCTAAAGAGAGAACAAGTCAAAATTGTAGAGAGAGAAGTACAAGGCAATTAACTCTGTGAGGGACATTTTTGCTATTATTATTTAGTTATTTATTTGGCGTTTGTCCCCTTTTAATCCGGCCATTTAAGCCGCCTATTGTGTTGTGTTATTTGTCTGTTTTTATTTGTTGATGGGGGAAAGAGGGGGAGGGGAGCACACCTCTAATAAATAATTCTTTTTCCCTTTGACTAAAATACTAGAAGACCCTTCTAGTATTTAGTTGAATAGAAAATCTCGCGGCGGGAGTCCATGAAAAATTCCAAAAAAAATAAAATTGCAAAACCTTCTTTTTCGAAAATTAAATGGTTTTAGATTACTCTGATTTTATTTTTTGAGTTAGAAATATACTAAACTTTTTGAATAAATTATTTAAAATAAAAACTTGTTTTGGCGAATTAACCGAAACCGAAAACCGGGGGTCGAAAACCGGAGGCCTAAGCCAACTGGTTTCGGTTTAAAAAATACACCTCTAAGGATAGAATTTTTGGAATTTCTTTTTCTAAATGTTTTTTCAGTGTGGCAGCAACCTTTGTTTCAAGTGAAAGGGGGGCTTTTGTTGGGGGCTTTTGTTGTAGACTTGGAGCATAATTGGCTGAAAATTTAATGCTTATCAAGCGAGTTTAAAAAAGACAATGCTTGCACATAGTGTTGAAATGGATGAAGAATGTGAAGAAATAGATGAATCATAGTGGATTTTATGAGAATTTTTAAAATTATATTAAAAAATATTGAAAATTTTAAAGAATAGATGTCAATGTAGCTAAAAAATGGGAGATAAAATAGAAACAATGTAGAAAATCTCTCATTATAATTGTATCATCTTTCATATGCATTCTGCAAGTACAGAGACGACAAATCTTAATTTCTTTAGATGTCTTAAATCTTTTAGATTAACTAAAAAGGAAATTAAATTTAATAATAATTTTTAATATTTAGTCCAATTTTTAAAATAAAATTTCCTACAAATCATTTCAAATATTCTCGAAGCTACTTGAGAAGGGAGCACACGCTCGCACTCACTTAAGAAATATAAAAAAAGAAATAAAATATTTTCAAGTATTTAGAGGTGTAGAGAAGAAATAAAAGGGCAATTTGTAAATATCCTCATCCCTCCCCCCTTTTTTTCTTCATCCTTTTTTCTATTCAATTATTCCATTCCTTTTTATTTTTCACTTCATCCAGAAGAGTATTTAGAATCTTTCTCAATCGAGAAGAACAGCCGAAATAACAACCAACCATATGCCGGGCACGCTTAAAAATGAAGTACTTTATATTTTAAGAAAAGAATTCTTCACTCAAGTGAGAAAAGAGTAGAAGAAAAAAGAGGGGGAGGGAAGGGGGGAATAATAATAATATGTAGTAACAAAATAATTCTTCCAGACCTTCCAAAAACCAAATTGAGCGAATGAATTTAGGAGTAAATTGTGAGGAATGAAATTGGACAGGTAAAAAGGGAAGAAGGTCGGGAATGGAAGGAAATGTTGGAAAGAATTTTAGAAAAAAAAGAGAGAGAATTGTTTTCGGGCAAAGGTCGGCAAGGAGACGGCAATTTTCTTTTAAGTTGAATACAAGCATGGTTGTGTTTTCCTTGTTTTTCTGGATGGAAAAATAGAAAAAATAAAAGAAAATTTAAAATAAACAACAAAACAATCCCCCCTCCCCCTCCCCCCTCCCCCTCCTCTCCCCCTTTACTAATTATTTAACTAATTACGGAGGTTTTAAATAACTGAAATATGTAGTATATGAAAATATGAAAATTATGTTGTTTAATGGAAAAATGAGAAGAGAATGCTAATTACAAG